CCCCCTTTTTTTTCGCTTTTCTTTTTTTCATCTGGCCATCATCTGCGCGTCACGTGTGTCGGTGCAGTTTCATTTTTCATGCCACCATTGATGTGGGCCCTTTTACTAATCTCGCGTAACCCATACACGCAGCATCACAAATGTGCTACCAGTCAGGACATTTGGTGGAGTGGCTTTTATCTTTAGTGTCAGTTTTGTTTGCTGTTACTTTCATAAAGGCTTCGTTGGTGCTTCATCTGTATAATATTTAATTTGCCGTCGTGTTTTATTGTCAATTTATTTAACTCGGGTGAATAACTATTCATGGAATCATTATATATTATATATTTTTTTCTGTCATCGTCACTGAATTTATTTTAACCTCTTTCATCGGAGACTTCATCATCATCATCATCATCATCATCATCATCATCATCATCATCATCATCATCATCACCATCACCATCATCATCATCCTCACCCTCATCCTCCTCATCCTCCTCATCCTCATCCTCATCCTCAATAGCATAGTCGTCATCGTCATAATCGTTGTCATCGTCGTCTTCATCATCGTCATCACCATCTACTTCATTATTATAAATGTTTATTTCACTATTTGTGCCATTATAAATTAATGTACCATTATTGATTGTCAGTCTTCTCACTATCGCTCAAAATGTCATAATTGTGACGTATGTTTCTGCGATTATCATTGATATTATCATCGTTGTTGCCATGTCGATACAATATCATTATGATTATTTTACGCTACAAACTTCGTCTGGATTTCAAGAAAAGACCAAAATCAGTTTCGGTGTATCCTGTTTAGTATTATATGATACTATGAGCCAAGCACCACACTGACTGTCCTCTATTCTTGTTATAGGGGCCTAGCTATTTTGCTGATTACAGGGTTTCTCTAATCATGGGGGTTTTGTTGTTGTTGTTGTTGTTGTTGTTGGGTTTGGGGGGGGGGGGGTTTGTTTATCTCTATGTATGTTTTTGTTGCTTGTGTCGGGTCTGTTTAATTTTCAAACCTCTTTATAGTTTTCAATGCATTTTCCAATTGACCTCAAACAACCTATGAAGGTGCAAGTTATACAAAATAATGTCACGATTTCCCCCTTTCCTTGTTGGATCCTTTTATTCTAACCAACTGGCCCCTTCTGTACTTTTGTTCAGCAAAAGGGAATTTATGCGTGTATGGAAGGACGTTTTGAGGAAATAAAAAGCTGAAATAATCTCAGTGATGTTGTCACCGGTCTTCTTTTCATGTTGTAATTCATCATTCTTGAGTGACAAGCTCCTCGTCATTTTCCCAGAAATTTGACAAAATTATTGTCGAACATTGGCTCATGAAATTACTTTTAAGCTCTTGAACTTTCTAAGAAACTGATGACTGGCTTTATGCGCATTAATAAGCAATATAAACTCCGTTTTTTTTATTGTTTGCTTTTCCATGCTTTACAATAATTTAATGTGTATATATATATATATATACATATCTATATCTATATATCTATCTATCTATCTATCTATATCTATCTGTATCTATCTGTATCTATCTATCTGTATCTATCTATCTATCTATCTATCTATCTCTATATCTATCTATCTCTCTCTCTCTCTCTCTCTCTCTCTCTCTCTCTCTCTCTCTCTCTCTATATATATATATATATATATATATATATATATATATATATATATATATATATATATATATATATATATCTTGTCTTGAGTGTGGTATTTCTGTGTTACTAAAGGAGACAGCTATTCTGCTTAAGGCAACGCAATGTTGTAAGGAAGTCCGGTATGGGTAATCTTTTTAAAGTTATTTTAGTAAGAGTTTTATGGCACTTTCAACACAATTACGTCATATAAGTGCCAAAAATTAGAGGTGTTACAAGAAAGTAACAGAAGTTTGATAGGAGAGAAAGAGCAAACAACACCAGAGCATCCGCCAAACAACCACCAAGGAAAACAGGGTTTGAACAAACTACTTGAGACAAACATACTGAATTCAAACCACGATTAAGGATGACATTGTATCAGTTCGATGCATTTGTCACACCATGAGTAGGGTTATTTCAGAAACAGGATGTTTTATTTGACGTCCTTCTCCGACAGGGCCGATAATATGTCATTTCGGGGAAACCCCTCTTGAGGTGAATGAGTCATCATCATCATCCAGTGCCAGATCTGCGACAGACATCGGCGATCATGGTTTTCCATTCATTCCTTTGCTCGGATGCTCTAAAAAAGCTACGTTTCCCTGATCTTTTCCTGTTACCCATTTGTTTCGGTTCCCTAAGTATGTTGCTCTGGGCCTACCCCTGCCTCGCTTGCCCTCAATTTTGCCAGTGAGAGGAGAGCTAGATGTTCAAGACCCTTATGTCTATTCAGGTGAATGAGTAGAGGGATGCTATCAACGCTGACACATTGCTGTAGAATGTAAGCCGACGGCGTTGTTCAAGGAACGTGTACGGTACTTCACTTTAACTAACTCTTAAAAGTCCACACGTCTACTGGCTGAATGCTGCACTATTGTTTTTGTATGTTTGTTTGGTTGTCGTTGTTTTTGTTGCTGTTTTGTTTTGTTTTGTTTTGTTTGTTTTTTTTTTTTTTGCTTCGATTTTTCCCGTTACTACGATTGTATTCTCGTTTTAAATACCAAATC